GCACACCCAGAGAACCCTGGTCCATAGGACCACCAAAGATGGTTGTGTAAAGTAGTAGGCACATTTTCAAGTTTCACAGGTCTGTGTCCCAGCTGCTTTGGTGTTCAATCTAGTGGAGGGGAGAAAGAAATGTAAGTTGCACCAGAGGTATAGTTATGGAGGGTGAGGATGAAGGCAGTTCCCCCTCATGACATTTTCCCTTCAAGACCCAAACTTCTAGGATTGCAGTAAATTAAAATATTGGTGGAGCATTTAGAAATCCGCTTTAGGCAGCTAAAAAAAAGGGAGCAGGGAAACTGACCTATTCTTGAGCAAATTCAAACAAAAATCCATCAGTGATATCTTTATTGGCCAACCAAAATGCACAATATACTTGTTGTAAGCTTTTGAAGCTCCATAGGCTTCTTTATCAGGCAAGATGTTACAAACCAAACAGAAGAAAAACAATTGGAGATGTTAGTCATATGCCTACATGTTGTTTCAGTCTTTAGTTAAGATGATATTCTTGAGCAATTATCAGTGACCAGCTCTGCAGTGCTAGAAACTTGGGGACTGAGGGAAAGCTTCATTTGTGGAGGCAGAATTTTTATTTTGGAGGGGCAGTAGCTTCATTTGAAGCCACATTCCTCTGGTTTGCTTGTTGAAAAAGTCAGGGTAATGCATGCATGTGCGCACACACATATTGAATGTGTTATAGCCTTAGGAAGGTGAAATTGCAGAGTTATACATGTTGCTGTTGCTGTTGTTGTGTGCTTTCAAGTAGAATCTGACATGGTGACCCTAAGGCAGCAGTTCTCAAATAGTGGGGCGGCCCCCCCAGGGGGGGGCGTGAGGCTCCGTAAAGGGGGGCCCATTACGGCTGGAGAGAGGGAGATTGTCCCAGCTCAGCCCCAGTAGCAGCCCAATGTGCTCTATCCAGATTGGTCAAACCCACCCATGTGACTATTTACAGTCGCGCGGGGGGGGGGCGCAAAATGTTTTCTTCTTTCCTAGGGGGGGCGTGACAGAAAATAATGGAGAAGCACTGCCCTAAGGCAACCTTATCACAGGGTTTTCTTTGCAAGTTTCTTCAGATGGGCTTTGCCATTGCTGTCCTCTGAGGCTGAGAGAGTATAACTTGCTAGGGTCACCCAGTGGGTTTTAATGGTGGATCTAGGATTCCAACCCTGGTCTCCATAGTCCAACATTTACTGGGGAGTAAAGGCACCCGATCTCATTTGATCTAGGAAGTTAAGGAAGGTCATCCCTGGTTGGACAACTAATGGATACCATGAAGCAGATGAAAGGCCCTTCCTCTATCCCAGCTGCCACTGCCCTGGCCTAAGATGGAGAAAGGCAGGCACAGCTCCATCATGGCTAGTTGCACAAGCAGATGAAGCAGCTCTTCCTCCTTCCCAAATACCACTGCCCTGGCCTTGGAGGGAGAGAGGAAAAGGCAGGCATGGCTATCTTATGTCAAGGCCCAGAAGCAGGCATGGCTATCTTATGTCAAGGCCCAGAAGCAGGCATGGCTAGCTTATGTCAAGGCCCTTTCTCCATCCTAACTGCCATTGCGCTGGCCTCAGATGGAGAGAAAAACTGAAAGGCATCACTCCATCACGGCTAGGCTCAGAAAGAGATGAATGGCCCTCCCTCTAGTCTAACTGCCACTGCTCTGGCCTTAGATAGGCAGAGGAAGAGGCAGGCACAGCTCTATCATGCCTCACCCCAGAAGCAGATGAAAGGCCCTTCCTCTATCCTAACTGCCACTGCCTGGCCTCAGAGGGAGAGAAGATGGGGCAGGCATGGCTCCATCATGAATAGGCCCAGAAGTAGATGGAAAATCCTTCCTCCATCCCAACTGCCACTGCCCTGACCTTAGAAGGAGAGAAGATACAGTGCCCATTGGACCTAATCCCCTCCCTGGCTAGATGCCATCCCCTTTTCTTTTTGTATCATGTCTTAATTAGATTCTAAGCCTGAGGGCAGAGAACTGTTTCCTGTTCTTTTATTTGCAAAGCACCATGTACAGCCATTGCACTATATAAATAAATGATGATGACAAAGAATAAAAAATACCAGATGCTGAAGACGTATTTCAGAAGAAGGGAGTGGCAAAACCACCTCTGGCTATACCAGACCTGCACAACTTGGCAATAGGTAGGGGCCAAAATTAAAATAGGCTAAACTTCTTTGGGCTGCAGATAGCTGTTAGTTAATAATAATAATAATAATAATAATAAATAATTTTTTATTTATAGCCCACCCCTCTGCATGGCAATCGGGGCAGGGTACAACAATTTTAAAACAAACAAATTAAAACATTCCCCCATCCCATAATCTACCCTCCCACCCCTTAAAACAGAATTAAACTAGTGAACAATTAAAAATACAACAATAAAATAAAACCATCCATTAATAAGACAAGGAATCAGTAAAACAAATAAACTTATCTAGCGCCAGACCACAGTTATTCCGGGAAGGCCTGCCGAAAGAGATCCGTCTTTACTGCTTTTTTAAAAGCAGCAAGAGTGGTGATAAGACGGATCTCGTCCGGCAGGCCATTCCAAAGTCTGGGAGCGGTTGCAGAGAAGGCCCTCTGGGAGGTCTGAGACAGCCTAGTTTTTACTGGCTGTAGCAGATCCCTCCCAGAGGACCGCAGGGCGCGAGTGAGATCATATGGGGAGAGGCGGTCCCTAAGATAAGATGGACCCAAGCC